TTCTCATTTCACTATTGGCCATATTTTATGATGTGATGGTGTAGAGAGAGAGAGAGAGAGAGAGAGAGAGAGAGAGAGAGATTTGGAGCTCCCTTCACAACTCAATCTCATTGAGAGGTGCCGAGAAATGTAATTCCTAATTTATGATATGGCACGAATAAAAATAAAATAAAAAATCATTCACAAGAACTTTTATGAGACTGTTTTCGTGGGGTTCTTTTCCATAGATGTTTCGTATATGATGAACATTGTCTCAGCGTACTAGAACCAATTGGAAAGTCTCTTGCAATAATTATTAGAATGATATTTTTATAATATTATTTATAATTTATTTTTCTCATTTTTATCTAACTTGTAAATGTTAAAGTGGTCTGGGATGATAGACTTTTATGATATGAATTATAATAAAATTTTTATTATTTATAAGATATTTTAAATTTTATTTTATATTATTACATTAGTCTTGTAATCACCAAAGTGATCTAGACTAATAACTTATAAAATAATATTAAAGAATTAATCCTAAATATTATTAAAAAATTAATATTCATAATGATATATATAATTAAGAGATTTAGGTAATCCTAAAGAAAAATTTAATTTAAATAATTATTTATAATTAGAATTAAGATTAGGATTTTAAATATAAAAATTACTAGTGAATTAAAATTTATTATTATAAATATTTCATGTGAGTTCTCATAAATTTCTCATTAATAAATCTCAAAAGTAAAAATAAATAAATTTATATATGTTTAAAGAGGTTTATATTTAAATTAAAATTAATTTAAAATACTTATAATTAATCTCACATAATGAAGAATTTGATTTTCTCGATAGATATATACATAAAATAAAAACTTATATTTTTAGGTGATGGTAAGAATTTTGCATAATCTCGTAATTGAATTTTTCGAATGTGCACAATGAAAAATATGCATGCGTTTGATATAATAAAAGATAAACTAAAAATATAAATTATATTTAAAGAAATAAAAGAATCGAATTGCATGTAATCGATCTGACTCACACCCTAATAAATTGAAGCTTTTGATTCACCTGTCAGTTTGATTTAGACTCAATACCTTCCAAATTCTAAGTCGACGAGAACAAATAATATGCTTAAAAACGAATTAGGTAACTAAGAAAAATGATGATACTTATCATGGGATCTATGATTGTAATCTGCTCATCTTCTCATGTGGAATAACATGAGATTTCCAACCACAGGAATTATTTGTATTATCATCATCATCGTATCATATTAAATTGGAGGTTTGCTAACTTGATGGGACGTGAATCCACTGGAGATTCACTGCTGTCCAGATCAGCCTGACGTGACACATATTGATATAGAAAGGGGTGGGCGGGAGCAGACCAAACCCTTCTCCATGATTCTGCCCTTCCTTCGTGGGACAGCCAAACTGGGTAGCCACCCATGAGACACTGATCACCTCGGTACTTGTACCTTCCTCCATCTCTCTCTCTCTCTCTCTCTCTCTCTCTCTGTTTCGCAACTTAGACCTAGCTAAGAAGCTTTTCCAGTGCTTTCCTGATCTATCTGCATCACCTTCTTCTCATTTCCATTCATTAATACTGTGAGTTTCCTGTGGTGACAGGAGATCTTTCATTCGATCCTATCATATCTGCATTGAAATGTTTCTGCAGCCACAGATTCTAAAGGTTCACTATTGACCGTGACGGCAGGAAGAGACGCCGATACGATAACTAATGACAGTAAGAAACGATTAATCTTAGCCCAAGAGCTCGTAAGCAAGCTTTTCTACACAGGTGAAAGCTAGCAGAAAGGCAAAGACGAGAGTCGATGACAGACAGTCAAACAGGATAATTAGCCCACGTTTGTCTGCTAAACTATTTCACCCATTCATGCGTCTTCTTTAGAGACGAATACTTCCCCCACCCTCACAACCTGCGCACCAGTTTCATCCAAGAAACCATGGCATAGCATCTGCTTCAGGAACCCATTCAATAATTCCATCAAACTTTTACGCTTGACCCATTGCTACCTGCACAGGGATGATAGAGTACTCCCTCAAAAGCGGAGCCTACCTTCCAAGTCGCTCTTAGTTTCGAGAGCCATCATCAATATCTGGACATATAGATCAAAGCAGCATGAAATGATGGCGTTACCTGCATGCAGCTAGCATCATTATTTGACTTGAGACTTGGAGATGAGCGGCTAAGTCGGGACATGTAGTTCTCAATATTCGTACTTCGCTGGTTCAGCTCCAGTAATGCAACATCTTTCATGCTTACAGGAAGAAGGGGCAGCAAGTCACCGAGTAGTAGAATGTAACGTGACTGGCATATGTTGAGATGCATGGCTTATGACTTGCTTTGTATCAGTCATTTTGTGATGATGATGATGATGATGAACTCGACAGAACAGAGAACAGTAATGTAAATTAATGTTTAATTTCCGCTTGGTGGATCTATGAACATTAAACTTTATTGTGTATATTTTTATGGTATTTAATTACATAGTTAAGTTTGTGATAGCTACCTTTCAATTCAAAGAAATGATTAATCGAGTAATAGCATGAGTCGATCGATCCAATAAAAGATTACAGTAAGATACAGGTCCATATGCTGAACCAGCAGATCTGAGGAAAGGATTTGATTGGACGTTGTGACGGATGGGAATCTCTTGCGAGGTCAGAGGCTACCATTATATGCTTTTGTGGAGATAGGGTTTGAGGTTGAAAAGACGCATTGCAGAGAGCCTAAGGGAATCTCTCTCTCTCTCTCAAGATCAATGTTACCCATGGCCATGTTCGTCTTCTTCCACCACCTGTTGCTTTCCTTTCTTAGGTATCCAATTTGATGCAATACTAATGATGAGTTGATGTATTACCAATGATGATTGTCCACCTTCTCACTTCGGTTGCCTCTAAATGTATACTTTTAATTCGAAAAAAACACAATAAATGACTCCAAAACGAGTTTACCGGTCATATTATCTCAATCACAACAGTCAATAAGAATCCTCTTCATTACGAGTCCTCCCACAGCACAAGAAATACTTCGCGTGCATGAGAAAACCAGCTTCTTCTCGAGGCATGCAGTAATCAGGCATCGTCGTACACACATACACGTACATGGCTAGAGCTTAGATCTCAATCTCAAGTGATAGGGGTATCCTAATCTTTTACGAGATGTGGGAGGTGACCTGTAGTTGTTGTCGATATATATTGGCAAGAGCCGTAGGCGAGTCCTTTTGACAGCTTTCCGGGCCCTGCCTGGAGTTGTCTGGTCTCTTCCACCGGAGCTTTCATAAGGTTCATCAACCCCAAGGTGGAGTTCTTCTGCTCACACATGCATACCTCACATCAAAAAATTTGCATGAAAATGTACAGACATTGTACACACACACTGATTCGAGAAATATTAGTCTCCAACACAGGCATGGCATGTGGCATTTCGATCGGTCTAAAACCATGTCGACCGAAATGCCTACAGAACTGGTGTGCTCGCACAGATGATACAAGTATAACGTTAGCATCCAGGGAGGGATTCATATATGCAAGCGTAGCAGAAGAGCTGTATCATTATGGGGTATCAGATGTGATCTTCTATGTGAATGTCATGCAAGTGATGCACGTAACCAATGTCATGGTCATTCTTACATATTAGTGTTCGTCTCGATTAGTGTCATGCGTTTGATTAGCCCATGGCACTAAACAAAGTTTAGCTTTGTCACGACTTTTCATGAATTTGATGTTGCATGGATGAAGTATGATGCATCCCAAAAGAAACTGTATAGTTTAGCCCACGCAGAAAGATATACGCACACTCTCGAAGTAAAAGAAACTATATAGTTTCACCTGGTTAAAGTAGCTGTATGTAGGAGACAAAAGGATGCAACAAAGGGATTAAACTAGTGTAGTGAGTGTTAGCTTAAAAGAAAAGAGAGAGAGAGAGAGAGAGAGAGCTGTCCCTCCCATTGTTCGTCCAACCATGACAATATTATACTATGGTTATTTGGTACTGTATGGTGATGTGATGTAAGCCGCTGGAGTAGCTATTTAAGGGGCTTCTCCCGGATTCAGAGCCATCAGCTTGTTCAATGAAGTGCCTTTCTTCTCTTCCCTCTTGTTTCTCTTCATCAGCGAGCAGCTGGATAATAGGATCTCAAGTATGGGTTGCGTCCTTGTTCTTCTCGAGGAACCTGGGTTCTTACTGGGATCAAACGTATGCATGAGGGGATGAACTCTGTAGTTTGTCGGGCAGGAAATGGGATTGGGTAAAAGAGAGCTTTCTTCAGTCCACTCACTGGTGGGTGCAGGGTTTCTTTAGCTGCCGACTCATTCATCCAAGTATCAAGAACTACGTATATGGCACTGCTTGGTATCTGAGTGAATGATGCGGGAGGTAAACTGGATCCTGTGCTGCCTGTGCTTGGACTGAAGGGAGCTCCCTTCTTTGCATCCTCATGCATGAAAGACTCGGTAGTTGGCTTACGATCACCTGCTCTTCATCTTTGATTTTGCTTGTTCTTTTCCTCTCTTCTTCATTTGGGTTTCTTCTTCTTCAGTTGTTGTGTTCTCGCCGAATGATTCTTTTATGGAGAACTTGTTTACGCTTTGTTGTTTCTACTGTTTTCTTCTTCTGAGTGATTTGTTGTGAGTAACAAATGGCGTAAGTTTGATGCTTAGGTAATCATTATTATGAAGCTTGGAGACTACGTAATAGCATCGTGTCATTGCGAGGGGAAGATTGACCAAATATTAGTCATCATTTTTATCACTTTATATATATATATATATATATATATATATATTTCTGCACGTATAGAGTGAATCATTATCACTACAGTGATTGGAAAGCATCAGAATCTTCTAACCATGCCTTCTTTCGATGCAATATCTTATTTGCTTGTGATTCATGTTCTTGTTGACCAAAGAACAGAAGATGGCAAAGACGACACTGCTGAAGAGCACTGCCAGAACAAAAGGTTTCCACAGCAGCCGATTTTTCTGACTCTTGGAAGAAAGAAAGAAATCATGTGAACTGCTAAATGAGGCCAACACTTGGATACATTGCTGTCAAACATCAAAGAAGGAAAAGAAACAATCTCGCATTTGCAGGAAGAAAAAGGAGTAACAAAAAATATGGGCAGGCGTGACGAAACGATGTTTCTCACATCAGAATGATCACCGTCTTCTGGTGGTGTTCACGTTGTCAGCTCCGTCGGGCGGCGGTTTGATGTACTTTCCCAGCGTCTTCTGCCGCGCCCGCTTCTTTATTCTTCGAATCTTATCTTTGCTCTGCTGTTTTCTCCTTTCTTTCTGCTGCTGCCGCATGTTCCGCTCCCGCTCGTACACCCCCCGCCAAACGACCTCACCGGTTTGCGGCCACAGCCATCTCCGGTCAGGGCGATCGGAGTCTGCTTCCTCCGCCCGATCCTCATCCATGCCTTTCAGAGTGGCGTATGAGAACCACCTGATCCACATCTGACCTCTCCTATTCTCCAGCCTGTGCTGCTCCTGCATCGCCCCCGACTCCGGATTTACATATACCATCCTTCGTGCACTATGGTACGCCCACACGTTCGCAAGAAGCTCCAGCAGCCGCGAATAGCATTGTCTGTCCTGTAATATACAGTACCAATAATGTTGGTTTGGAGCTCACAGGCCCTCAAAATCTAATAGAAACTAAGAACTACAGCAGTTTAGTGTTCCCATCCTACATGAACATTATAAAATGCATTATATATTCAGTTATAAATTGCTTGAGTTGAGATAACTTTCAGATGCATGTTCTTAATATTCCAAGTCCATTAGCTTACAAACTATGGTGGAATTCCTACGCATGACCTTGCTATTAACAATCAGGAATTCTATCATGGCATTCTTTTCTTTCTGTCATGAAAATGATAAATAGCAAACGTCACTTTTGAGGTAACAGCACTCAAGATTTACTAGATAGGGAACTTGAAGACAACAATTTGTACTCGAGTGGAACAAGGATATTATGTCAATTACCATTGGAAGGAACATTCATCACTACATTATTATAAGAGACTTCAGCTGCCAAGTAAAGATCCAATAAGATCTAAAATATCACTGAACAAAGATACTGAAGTTAATGAGTGAATAGTACCTTCGACATGCTCAGAAAACAACGCCCGCTCATGTGGTGATCATCATACGCCAGTGCATCCATTTCATCTACAAACATCCTGAAAAGAAAATGGGCAGCTAGAGGTATAGATTGTATGACTGGCAAAATGAGGAAGTCGATATCGCATTTCAGATATACATTGTGACAAGACATATATACCATAGATATTATCTCAAAATCAAAATATTCAATAAAACCTTCGCATGATGACAGATACCACAGATTAGTTGACCACATACAGAAAGCCCACCAAACTTCATAGGAAGCAAATTGAATGTGGATTCTTTTACCACCAATTAGATCTAGCATAAATATCTTACCTCTTCTTAAAATTTTTGATCATCTATTGGAATTGGCATTTGCCAAACCTTGAGTGATTTGCTTCATAATCTCTAATTCCCATAAGTTGGTAGGGTAGCAGTTCGAAAAATCAACAATATTTCTTAGTTGGCATTTCCATTTGAGCATCCACACCATGTAGATCTCTGTTTTTGTTCTGGAATGAGCTTAGATAAATCACTAAAACTAGAATAAATTGTTGCTAGCTCCAGCATAGCCACTAGAACTTTCTAATGAATTGTCTTCTTATGGCAAAGTATTGTTCTTTGTACCTTCCTGTACATATTAGAGAGCTGCTAGTAGTTAGGCTGATCATTTTGTGGCAATGTTCTTCTGATTCCAATAACCCACACAAAATTTGCTACTACCAAAAAGTGTAATGAGAACTTCAAATGTTATTGCATCATGTTGGATTTAAATGGGCCACAAAGATTTGATATGCACCACCATGACTATTCATCTAATGAGTCTGTTGTTTGGTGCCTTCATGCATTGGTACAAACCAGGATGATTAACCTTGTTTGGGTTTGTGATAATCTTGATAAATCAAAATTTTCATTTTCTTTCACTACTAGTGGCCATAAACCATGTAGTCTTCTTTTTCATCAAACATTAATTATTCAATATCATTATAGACATAAAAATTATGCTTCAAGATATGCAAGTAGTTGCTCAACATGTGCTAACCCTATGAAAACCCATCAACATGGATGCATCATACCTTGAAAACATAACAAACTCAAGGAAAGACCTCGTTGGCAAAACCCAGCTGTGCATAACCGACCAGGAATCCCCATCTTTTGGCATCAGAGGCAATGAATTCCAATCAAGTTGTATATTGTACATTCTTCGGAGAACCTCAGCAACAGCAAACCTTCATAAAGTAAAATAAAGGTCTAAAATAAGTTACTGATCGTTCATGAATACACTAAATTTCACAAGGCATCTCCATCATGTCAAGCTTTCTAAACTCCTTCAAGCATAATCCCCAAGAATTATGCATGCAGTGATAAAGAAGAAGTCTTCTTGTAACCAGATGGAATGGTTAAAACTAGCTGCTACCAGGTAAGACTTTGTGCTTTGGATTTTAAATGCCACATCAGCTGCTCAGATGAGACCAGCCACGAGAAGTGAAACTTCCGAAACAAAATAAAAGAATGGAAGATGCATGACCGTATTTAACAAAATCACATTGTTTCAAGTCAACAAAAGTTCATCTTAAGTCTAAAACCCCATAATCTAGGTGTGGAAACCTAGCGTGTTAACTTTGGATATGTATCTTGAACATACTCTATATGTGTAGCTTTCATCATAAAAGTGTGTGAAATCACAGGTTCCTTAACACGCAGTTTATAGTAGCTGGAGAATGATCACTATAAGCTTTTCTTGTTTGCACTAAAGCTTTTTGTATATTGAAATGTATTGACAAGAAAAAGATACAGGAATGACAAAATCATCTGCCTGACCTGCAGTTTCCAGCATTTATGGCATCACAAAAATCCCAAAAATCCAGATGCTGAGGATTTCTTGGATCTTTGTCCAACCGAATCCAGAAGTACAAAGCATCTCCATGCCTTCGTTTTTGAATGGCCTCCAAGAGTTTGGCCTCAGCTTCTTTAGATAAACTGTTCTGTAGATAGAAATAAATACCACAGTTAACCCATTTAACGAAACAATAGTTATGTTGCCGATTATTAGTCTCTACATGTTTCATATGCAATCACAACATCATTTAACCACTGTGTTGAAGGTTTTAGATACAAGTTTTCATATTGAATTTCTAGCCTCCATGCTTCCATAAAAAGAATGAAGCAAAGAAAACCATATTTATCTGCAAATATAAAATAAGTTGGCCAAGAATCAAGAGACAAACTATTGCACTTTCTGCCTGCTACATTTTCCAAAATGAACAATCAAGTAACTGCAAACATATTCAGTGTATGTCATCAAGGCATTCCCCTTCGAAACAGTAAAACAAAAAAAAATGATTAACATATATAGCAACTAATTATATCTATGTTCAGCAGCTTCAGTTAGTTCAATTGGAAAAAGAACATTAAACAATTAGTGATAAACACACTGAAATAAGATTAAAGATTAAAGAAGAGCAGAAAATGGAACAAGAGAAGGTAAGAACAAGCTGCAAGAGTAACAAGTGTGCTACAAGAATGATTTTTGTATGTTGTAACCAGAAGGCAAAATTATGGGAACAAAACAACACTGCATATGGAAAGTAGAAATATAGAACATAATAGTAAAGAAATTGCATGTGACAAATTGGCAACATTGGTGAATCCAAAGCAATGCAACAAAGGAGAAGCCTCAAAAGCCATGGTGTACTACCAACTTAGGTCATTTCAATGCCATAAAAGCTGAGACCAAGGGTTGTTCTACAGCAGTTGCATGCAGTGAAAAATAAGACAATTAGTGCAAAAGATTTACAGACACCTAACAGAAATGCTATTATTCTTGTATACCATGTTATGGCATTCAAACAACCCATATAAGTTATGGAGCACAAGTCATCAGGAGAATATGCCATCTCAGTTTCTCACCATAAAAGCAGTGTCTTGATCTGACTGAACCTCTATCAAAATACTAATAGTAAGCTCATCTGGTCTTATATACCAATAAACCTATCATCAATTCCTGATGTGGGATTAATTGGGGTACTATGGTTTCTCCCTACCTAGGCTTCACATCCTTAGTCAAATCTTAATACATCTACCCAGGCTTCACATCCTTAGTCAAGTCGTAACAAATGGCCCACATGCATTACAAAATAGGTCCATCTAATCTTATTTAGAAAATCAACCATATACATTCCCTATATGGGACTAATCGAGGTATCACACAACAATTCAATGTTTGTCAATCAATTAAATGTTTATTGTTTATCCAAAAATAAATGATGTTGGTTGTCAAATGAATGGCGTTGATAAGTGTAACAAACCAAAAAACATGGTAGCTTGTACTTGTTGAGAAACAAAAAAAAGGTAGAAAATTTATAACATAACCCAGAAAGCCTTGTCAGCCATCTCATCCTAAATATATGGTCAAGATTAACATGACTTTTTGAGTCTAGTGATTGCTAAAGTTAGGTAAAGAAATTTATACAAGTTATCAAGTTTAGAAATATTCCTACTGTCATAAAGCATCATTAAAAAAAACTACTTTCGAAAGTAGAAACACAAAATTTAACACAACATTGCTATTTGAACAGGAAAAACAGGGATTTTAGCCTTCAACAATAGAGGCATTGCCACAAAAAACACATGGATCTATACAAACTGTAAAATTATTATAAATCAATACAAACCTTCCTAGCTGAAGCTCTCCATGATTGGAAACCAATCCAAGCATTCTTATGTACACGATCAATCCGGTTAGCCAAAGCAAAGAATGCTCCATATTCACCAAGCACATCTCGGTAATATGAATTACTTAAAAGTGGAAGACGAGAAGAAGCATCTATATCATCAGCTCCAGGTCTTCGTCCTTTAGAGGACTATTAAATAACAATATTTCATGGTTAGCAGGAAAGATCAGTAAATAGCCAGTCATAATGACAATAAGAACTGTTTAATTGTTAAACATAAGAATTCTCATACTGATAGGCACGTGCTGGCATGGATCAAGACATACCATGCCAGACAGGTACTGAACAAGTTATGTCGACATATGTCAGCGGTGCTAACATATGACTAGGCTAGATTTGGTTTGACAAAGCACAGAATCATACTTATGCTGATAAGGTAACAACCAAACTCCCTTGCCCAGAAACAATGGTCATTGGATAAGAGTACAATCATCAAAAGAAGCTTCTTGTGGTATCCTTTGAATGCCTAATAATGTATGCAGCATAACCGAACAAGAAGAGCAGACCAACCTACTAAGTACTCAGTAAACTAGATATTATCTATATTTCAACAAATTATCTAACTTTTTGCCTAGACATGATTCCCTCAATTTTTACATGTTCAGTAACTTCTGAAAGAATGTAAAGTTTCCACAATTCGTAGGCATAAGATTAGAATTTTGAAACATATGATCACCTGCTTTGGCTAAGACCAGTATCTAACATATGGTTGCAAGTCATCAGTGTAATCACCAGCCAGCTTTTTTTCTTGTAATTAATTGAGACAGAGATGGCAAGGTGGCTATATATCTTTTCTTCATAAACTACTTTCAGTAATCGTTGTCACTTTTCTTTATGATCATTATGGAATGACGTATTGATATGATGTTTTGATAACAAATTTGTCATAATATAAGATTTTTCAACGACTTACTAAGCCAACTCCACGATAGAGCGAGGTTTGGTGCAGGAAAGGCCAAGCCCCTTCACCAAAATAAGGTTCATATACACACAGGAGCTGACCTGTCCGCTCAAGCTCTCTTTCATCTCTCTCATGCAATTCATTTCTTGCTCTGTCAGCTCTTTTAGAACTCCTATAGACTTCCTCCCATGTTCCATGAGGCTGATCACTCCTATCCTTCAACTGCATCGAGTTTCAACAGAATATGCTCTGAGGAAAAGTGGTTAAAAGAAAGTCAATACAAATTGTTAAACGATAGTGAAATGTAACAACCCTACTTTCTCACCTCTTCTTCTTCTATTCGCCTTTTAGCATTCATCATCTCTATGATTTTCTCTTCCTCCCAGGCTATCGAGGAAAATGCTTCATCGAAATTTGCAGAAGTATTACCAGAATTTCTTTGATTGAACTGCTCCTCAACTTTGTCTAACATTTTATATCTTTTAAAGCTTCCGTTCAGATTATCCATGCCTCTAATATTCAAAAAAAGATCCCATTGCCATTCCTCTCTTAGTTTCACAGGTATCTCTTCAATAGGCTTAGGAGGTGCAATTTCTGATGGAAACTTGACAACCTTTTCTAGCAATGAAACATAGCCTTGGATCGTTTCAGTTGCCATTAAGTTTCTGGCATGCCTTTTCCCATCTGATGCAACTTGCTGAGCAGATAGAGACAATTTTCCATTTGAAACTACTTCAAGCAAAATCTTACTCAGTGTGTCAACTTTCTCTTTAGAAAAAAGATATGCATTCATCCCATTGACAACCTAAGCCATAAACAACGCAGTCATTCATTATGAATACGATGCAAGAACTGGCAAAACAAAGAGGTATTTAGACATCTACATACATATTTGCTAATCATGACAAGGTCTGGAGCAACAACCAACTTTCCTAGACTCAGAGCTTGCATAAGAATATTAGGAAAGAATTGCTCCTCAAGAAATGATCCATATATTACAATATCTGCTTTGTCCATAAAGTTGTTCATGTCTTGATCAACTATAATATTTTCCACAATGCTGTTTGGAAAGCCAACCTTCTGTGCAATTGCCTGAAATTATTCATAGGACAATGACATTAAAGAATAGAAATTGAAAAAAAAAAAGGATCCAGAAACAAGGAGCAAGCTCAGGAACATTGGAGCAAGGCTGAATGATGGCTTTAAGAAAGAACATTACCTCCAAAGCAGTCCTGCTTGCAGCAGTCAAATTGGGACTCAAAATGCCAATTTTTAGAGAAGAAAAAGAAGTATTCACATATGGAAGCTGCTGGAGCAGTGGTGTTAGTGCTTCCAGGATCAATGCATGATCTATTAACATACCACTATATGAAAATTGACTGCTGACAATAGCAATGACAAAGTCCTCTGGTCCATAACCCATATTTTCTTTTAAATTATGGTGTTTCTGTTTAGCTGAGCTATCTGACTCCCATGCTTCCGCAGGAGAACCAGGAATAACCAGAAAGTTATCAACATCAAATTCTGAATACATCATCTGAAGAACAGAAAAAAGATTGATAAACACTATAATACAAATCTACCAATTTATATCTGAGCCCTGTGTGGATCAATATCAGTGAAAAGATTCAGCATGACAAGAACATATTACCGGCATTATATACATTGGAAACACTACAACGGTAGCTCTACTAAAAGCTTGCTTCCAGTCACTCAAAAGCTGAACCTGACCATTTGCAGCATATTTATTTAGATGAAGGGCCAGAGACCTTTCATGGATGGTCCAGATTACAGGTACATTTTTAAAAGGCTCCTGCGAAAGACTGTAAGCCAACATGAATATATCACCTTGAAAGAAATATAAGCACTTTTCTGATTTAGATTACTATTAGCAACATATGAACAATATTTAACAGTACATTTATTTCATTTTTTCTTACTCCTTTCAAGTTTTATGGAGTCTATTCCAGATGCATCAATGAAGCATACGATCCTTCTATTTTGGAAATAGCTCCATTAGAGAAAGGAGCCAGCTGTGAGGAAGCATGTACAGTGCCAGTGGCATGGAAGATCAAGGTGAATTTGCCTGCAGCAAGATAAGCAACTCCACTTATGACCTCCAAGATCACACCGCTAGATTGATGATGGATGAGACCTACCAGTTAAAAGGCCAAGAGTTCCTCTGTTCCTTTACCCTCTACCTACGCTGCTGGCTGTGGGCACTGCAACTGCAGCTAGCTAGAAGCAAAGGAAGAGCGAGAGAGGCAGAGGTCCATAATGGAAAGGGGAAGGAGGAAAAGAAAGACAAAGTAGGAAAGAGGATGAGCAACAAAGTGGCGGAGATAAATAGATTTCGGGCTGCACGAATGGTAACATAGCATGGATGCTATAAGTAATTTAACCATTCAACCTATCAAGATCAACAGTGGATAAGGATAGTTCTCATAGCTATTCGGTTTATCATCAACAACTCAAGTTTGTCAACCTGTTAAATTGAAAGCAAAGTCAGGAGGTGTGTTTTTAACAGACCGAAACTGACATTAACTGGACCTATGACAGAAACCAAGCTAAATCAAACTGAACTCAATTTGGTTCCATTTTTGGGTTTTCTTGGTTTGAATTATCAGCCATACCACAGAGAATAAAAACAAGGTAGCAAATAAGAATTCAGATTTTTTTAATGTCTAGTTAGAAAGTAAAACCCAGCAGGCCTTTATAAAGGTGCAAGTATGGGGCCTATGGGCTACACCATATATTTTGATTCGGGATACATGGAGAATAAGACTAGTTGGTTCATTGTTTTGGGTCATGGTTCATATTAAAATTACTCACTTGCTACTTTGGGCAAAATATATTGGTGACTAATACATCTACTAAAATATACAAAGTAAAAGAGTTAAACTACTTGCTATAATCTTTTAGTGTTTTATTGTCTAAGCTTATTATGTGCAATTCAAGAGTTAGAATGTACATGGGCTTCATTTCCTTTGGTTAATAGTTAGTAAATTTACATCTGTAGAATTCAATTTCAACATTTAAAATCAATTACAATGGTAATAACTAATAACTTGAAAATATAAAAACATCAGATAAGCATGTCAAACATAATATACACAGGTACAGTGAACAATATCTCTGACAGTAACTAGTTTAGCATCCATATAGAACCAAAAAAATGAATTTTCACTGATATCTCAAACCAAACACAACAAACTACACTGAAGAATCTGCATGTTAAGTCATTAAAGTGTGAAAATAGAATTAGAATTGTGGAAGATGAGTTTACCATGAAATCAAAGGCCTTGAGTCCAGAGAACTCACAAGAATACCATTATAGCTGCAGAAAGAATGTAAAAAACCCAATCAGAAAGCAATTTATTAAGAAATTAATAGTGTTTCTATCAGAAGACACTCTTAAGCACATTAAGAAAGTAAATATATAATATTTTAACTAGCTCCAGGTCAACTTTGTCACTTACTCTAACCAATCTATGGTGATTTCTCGTTTCGTTGTTATAGGCAGGATGCTAACGGATACCCCTATAGTCTGCCAAACAGAATGAACAGGACCATCTTCAAATGAGAAGACCTGCAACATATGAAATATTTTGTCAGAATGACATGAAAACTAATTTGACCAATCAGTACGATATTCCACATTAGTAGTAGATCATCTTCCCAGTGAATGACATGAAAACTAATTAGACCAATCAGTACAATATTCCACATTAGTAAATCATCTTCCTAGTGGATAAAAAGAGTCAACTGAATCATAGAAGAACAAAGAACTTCATAGAACATGTTCTGAAGCCCCACATTGAGCACAAACCTCCACTATGTAGACAATTTTTCCAATAAAAGCCCTCCAAATCACTCTCCATCAAGTTGCACTAGGATCATATTACACGTGTCACGACCCGGGCCTGATAGACTAATTGCTCTATCAACTTCGTTGTGATACTAGGACACCCTCCACGCCATGACAGGTCCTCTTGATTCCATCCATGGGTAACTTTTTTTTGCTTGCGCCCCCTCATCATGTCCCAATACTAGGTTGATTCTGATACCAAATGTCACAACCCGGGCCTGGTAGGCTAATTAATCTATCAACTTCGTTGAACCCAAACCACTGGTAAAAATACTTAAACTGAGGTTGATAATAGTACACCCATTAGACCCATGTGAGCCAATTTTAGTCTTACTCACTTCCAATATCGGACTAATCGGGAAGTTACAACATGGGTTTCCATCTCTGAGTTCCATATTCATAGCTCAAGTTACTTTTAATGGGACGGACAACTATGCATTTGTGAGGTTTAACTTGTAACCTGAAGCTTCCAACTTAGCAGTTGAAGTCACATATCATATTTATATAGGAAAAAAAATAAAAAAGAGAATATTTCACAGGGCGTAACATGTTTTTCTATGAAGCAGATCATTAGAAAGGCCAGCTACAACTTGCAATGGTGCATTGAACTTTGAGAAGATTGAACCATGCAATCGAAACCTAATTGTATTCACTTGATTTCAAAATCATTTATTTTATGAATTTTTAGCTATAACTGAACAAGTCAAGTAATTGTTTTTCATTTACCCAGGAAAAGCGAAACTATTTACATGCTGAAAACTGCAGATGGCTCAGTAAATTTGACTCAGCTATGGGTTTCATTTTCATGGTTCAAGTTACATTTAATAAGATGGACAACTGTGCATTTAGAAGGTTTAATTTGTTGTACTGAACCTGAGGCTTCTCTGCCACCAGATCTTAACAGTAGAAGTCATATCTTATATTGTCTGTAATGTGTGCATATATAGGGGGGGAAACGTAAAAAGAGAATACTTCACGAGGCTTAACATATATCTCCATGAAACAGCTCCTTAGGGAAAGCCAGCTAAAACATGCAATCGGAATTGAACATCGAGAAAAATGAATCATTCAAACCGAACCTAATTATATTTTTACCAGATCAAAAAATCGTTTTTATTGAATTTTTAGCTAAAACCGAACAGGTCAAGCAATTATTTTGTCATTTTCCCAAAAAAACAAAACTGCGGATGAATCAGTAGATTCGACTTCAAACTCAACTGCAGTCACTTCATCTACAAGCCAATGAAATCAACATCAATCTTTTACTTCCGAAATGCAGCATCAATCGCTTTCGAAACTGACCTCAACATCATAACCGATCTCCTTGAGGACGCTTGCAATGCTGACCATCTGCAGCTGCATGGCATCGGGGAGCAGATCCGGGAACACCTGCGCACCAAAAACAAGAACGGAAACCCACTGCCATGAGACACCCACCCATCAGCAACACCGCGGAACCAATATAACTAGCACAAAGAACCGAGAACCACCAGCGCAAGCAGCGGCTTCCGGAGCCCGAACCGCCGCGGTGGTCTGCCCCCGAAAGCCCCGGATGCCGACGAATTCGCCTCCCGGCTCTCCCTCTCCCACCTCGCCAGCAGCTTGGTGGGCACGAAGCGGATCCCTTCCCCGAAGTCCAACCCCTGGATCTGGGCCAGTCCCCCGCCGCCGGCGTCCCTCCCTCCGCCGGGCCGCTCGACGGCGGACCCCGGGAGGAAGGCCTGGAAGAGCGCGATGACGAGTAGGAAGGCGGCGACGGTGAGGACCCACTGGACGTATCCGACCTTCTCGGAGAAGAGGAAGCGGGCGAGGCGGGATCGAGCGCGGTGGAGGGAGGACCGGCCGGCGGCGGGGGGCGGGGAGGAGCGGAGGGGGGGGCTCCGCTTCGGCGGAGCTCCTACTACGGCCGCCTCGAGGGAACCCATTCTACTGGAGAAGCATGGAGGAGGAATTGAGCTTTAAGAGTAGCGGTAGTTAGTGAAGGCTTCGTACGGCGCCGGAAGCCATGAAGGGAAAGAACAGGTCGGGAAGAGTAGCGTAGCGTTCGAGCAGAGTCGGAAAGAGTGGAGGAGCGCTCACAGTGGGCGAACATGGGAATAAGGGAAAGGCTGGTGGGGTAATCGGACGAAGGATAGCGACGCGGAGGGCTACGCGGATGATCCGTAACCGTACATCCGTTGTCGGGAGCCGGGTGATGTGATGACAGCTCCCTCCGTCTTTGGAATAGGAGGGATTTCTCATGAAAAGTAGTAATTTACCACAACACCCCTATCTCCATTTTGACCTTTTGCCCTCCGAAAGAATTATATCTACGAAGATACCCCTGAAGCGCTCGATGCCACGTTGATGGCGTCCGAGTACGTACATGTGTAGCATCATAATTTTCTCAAATAAAAATATATTTTGTTAATTTCTCCCAATAATTATATTATATCCTATATTGGGTAGTATCAATTTTTTTCAAAAAAAAATATTTTTTAACTTAACAAAAGTGTTTTCTACACATAATATTATTTTTATATTATATAATAGTATTTTTAGTAATATAAAAAATATTATGTTAAAAATATTATAATATAGTGTAAAAATACTGTAAATATAATTTAAATTAAAAAAATTCTGTAGTACAAAAATATTGCAACTGATTCTATGGATCGGTCCAAAAAAAGAAAAAGAAATTTAAAGTGTTAGAAAACAAAGAATGTTGTTATGAAATTCTGAAAAGTGCTTTTTTTTCCGGAAAGGGATTATTTCGGAGAAACTTTCAGTTAGAGGGCATCATCGTCATTAACTCTGCTTTATCTTTGTAGCATTAATGTGACGTCGCTTGGTCGGCTCAAAGGTCAGAACTAATCGACGTTCCTTTCAGAAATAGAAGCTCACGCGTGCTATCCGAACTGCTACGCTAACATCGAAACCTCCCTTAAAAAGATTTACTTATGCCTCTAAATACGACGGATTTGTTTTGACGTGAATTCTTATGGCGAGACAGTAATACGTCGTGCATTAAGTTTCGCGGTGATGGATGGACGGATGCGAGTAAACTGGAGGGACCAAAGGAAAAAAGACATGCCGAGGACTCATCCCATGTGATGGGCGCCACCCCATGTCTCACGAGATCTCCCCATCACATTGAACGTGGACCCCACTCAAAGCCAGACATTATATACGTATGAGTACCTAATGTTTTGACGGTCAGATGGAAAGAATAAGATAATGAATCTACCTGCTGCGATGTAGCCTTCGTTCTGCAAGGACAGTAGTATCTTATTATCAAAGGTCTGTGTCGATCTGATCAGTAGCTATTCAGCAACTTGTTGGCTTGCGAGGAAGATCGAAATGCCAGATGTTGAAGACGATGCCTCACCTACCGATAACGTCCGCCAAGTGGTACCGATGGGCGGTGTTGTGGACACAATGTTACCCTGTCATGCATTGTAGGGACGCCACATTAAACAGGATGACACCGAGAGGCTGGCGATCGAAGAAGCTTTCGTGGTCGACGCCCACAACAGTGGGGTAAGTGCCGAGCGGTGCTTCTATGGATGACAGTGCAGAGCGGCAGCATCCATGTTCTTCCAGCTTGGCAGCGCCCAGCGCTACAAGAATGGTTTTGATAGTGCTGCAAACAGTAGATTTGCATTTGTGGTGGGAGAGTGAAGGCATTGATGCTTTGAGCGATTCCTTGCGGGATTCGCCCTGCAGCTTTACATGGATGCGTGCGAGCTTATATTAATGCAGAGTGAGTGTATTCTCACAAGTGGGACATGCCTCTGGGCTCCCTCTTTAAAGCCTCCAGCCTGACAAGTGAAGTCCAGATCTCTGCGTTTGTTCGGAAAGCACGTATAAAACTAAGCAGCGTCGTCTGTGGTCAGATCGAATGCATTATTTTATGTATTTGTTATAGCATATTTTAATTCACACTGATCATCTTATCATTCGAACAAAGACTTGGATGGAGAACCAGAAATGCACCTTAAAGCTACAAGAGAGTACGGATTGAAACCAGATGATGGAGAGTACGGATCAGGAATATAGCATGGCTTGGAGAAGCTGAACAGGGGCGAGCTGGCAGAGCCATCCAACAAAGAAGAACGCTGTCTCTGTGGCTCTGGTTCGACTCTCCTCTTCTTGGCACCGCCCGCGGCCAATCCAGCAGTCGGAGTCAAGGCAGAGCAGAGGCAGCCGCCACCCTGAAAGCAAGTGCTGGAGCGAAGATAGCAGTAGGAACGATTGTCCTCTTCGGGGAAATGAGGAGGCCCGGAGGAGTCATCGGAGACCATGGACAGGTCCTCCTCCTCCTCTTCTTCAGAGGGACCACCTTTGCCCCGGACGAGAGGCTGAGGTCACTCACCAAAGGACTAGTCTCAGTAGTCATTCCATCCAAATTGACATTTGCTGCTGCAATCTGAGCTAACATCTTCCTCAGCTCCTCGATCCATAAAGAATTTAGCGAATCAGGGGACGAACACCGAAAGCAGAATAGGCCTAATTAGAGGCCCATATTACTATATTTACAATTAGTATATAGTATGAAATCAGTACAAAACCAATTCGGGGATGTAGCTCAGATGGTAGAGCGCTCGCTTAGCATGCGAGAGGTACGGGGATCGATACCCCGCATCTCCAATTTTTCTGTTTTTTTTATTATTTTTATTTCTGAAAACAAAAAACTGTTTTTAAAAAAGTGGCACAACAATATAAAAAACCACTAATAGAAAATATATAGACATTAAAGCAATAAACCACATGTGTGTTTTATTCCACTCCAATTAGATACAATTTTGGTAAACAATAATTCAACAATATATGAAATATAATAATTTTAGTAAAATGACATTTCAATAAATTTGAAAAGCTAACAATGATTTACAGTAAAATAAATTGAAATATATTTTTTTTTACAAAGAGTAAGTGACAGAGCCAAAAGATTCGAGCTTATAAATTATTGAAATCTTTACCAACTAAACTAGTTGATATTTTTAAAATAAAAATATTATTATTATTATTATTATTATTATTATATTTGTCATAATATCATGCTAAGTACATGTAAAAAAAAATATAAAAGTTCATACAACCATTTTTTGTTTCCATGATGAAAAATATACTTTAAAAAATCAAAAAGAATCTCCTAAAGATCTTGAAAAATACCTATTTTTTTCAGAACGTATATGAAATTGCAATTTTCCAAGATATATGTAACAACAACACCTGACCCATCTTTATTGTATGTATGGCATGATGATTGACAAAGTTTAACATACAAAAGAAACAAACAGATATACAATTTTGAAATGTGCAATACATGAAAAGAAATTCACATAATTTTATAAGGTAAACAACACAACATTGTGTAGATTTATTCGAGTAATCATCAAAAGGTCATTTCAACTCTCACCTCACTCATCTCACACCATACACAGACTATAATTCACAATGATAACAAGATCCATCTAAGACCAACCCACATCCATTTTATAAGCTGCTTTCTGACCTGATCAATCATTCCATCTCCTGCCATTGCTATGCTTGCATCTCTGATCCAGCATAAGTACACTATTATCGCCATAATACATCAAGTAATTCTCAGCTTCCATGCATCTGGGATTATTTGCGCAATCTTTCCATCCATGAAGCAATTGGACAACCAGTTGTTCCTGGTAGTTCATTGTAGCAAGACACATAGTTCATCCAACTTTAACATATACTAGAATAGGAACAACTCCATGACAGCTTACAGAAATACTAACTATATCAGATGATTCATAAGATCACCATTGGTATAAAACAGCTCTTAACCATGGTATAATAAGTACCAACTTAACTTAGATCCACATCGTAAAACTCGGGGTGTCCATGGACATCTACTTAAGAACTCAAAAAGTGAGAGTTGCAAGCAAAATGGATAAGCAGACACTGCAACAATTGAAGCACCACTCAGTAGCAAATGAATTGCCAGGATCAACTGCAACCACACAATACCTTCTTCTTTATTGGAACTTTTTATCCTTCAGAGGCCCCATTGGAATCTTGCTCAAGTATTTTACGTGAATCACAACATAGTGCTTCTTGAACTCTGCCTCTGCCTTCTCTGCAAATGCATCAACCCTGTCCTCATATTTCTCATACAGAACAGGAACCGTGTACAGTGCGACAAATGCTGTTCCCGATACACAAGGATGTTAAAAGTCTAAAGATGCAGAAAAAAGGATAAAAACACTCATGAGCTATCACAAAATTTAGATTACCTATGTAAAATAACATCAAGAAACTGCAGCAATTGGCAATGATCGATAGAACCCACAATGCAGCAGCAGCCTAAAATCAAAGCACAAGCCATTAGAGACCCAAAACAATGCACCGAAACTACCAAATGTCTTTGACAGAATACAATAAGCAGCATACAGCAAGAAACTTCTTCAGGTCACGCCCTGATGCGATGTCCCTCAGTGCAACCAAGCCCCGGTTGATCACGTATCGAAGTGAAAGCACAACGTTCAGAGCTAGATCCTCAGAAATGCTCACCTCGGGAACGTGTGGCCGCGACCTGCCAAAGAAAGCACGAATAGAAGTGGAGCCATTGGAGATAAAGGAAAAAAACAGTACAGAGCAACATGAATCACAGAGATAGATAAGCTCACTTGCTGATGAAAGTGGTCGCATTGCACCAGAGGAAAATAATGGCCAGAGAGAGGATGAGCCCATGGCACACCAGGGTGATCAAGTGGTACTCCATCAACTCGAAGAAGACCCAGATAGCCGTCACCGCACCAAACGTCGAGGCGGATACCTTCTTGTTCCTCCATAGGAAAACATCAGCAGCTGCTCAAGATTGTTCATCGGATCATCGGAGTCGATACGACAAAGAGACGAATCTAAATCTAAAGTTTACTTCTCAAGCTAAAAGCTACTAATCAATCAAGACAACCCACATAGTTCGATTCGATAAAGTTTGCAGGACCTGATAAACCAAGCATAAATCGAGGTCAATAAGGTTCCTTGGGCCGAATTAGGGCTTACATACTATAAAAAAGATGCAACTTTTCTCGTAAAAAGATTGACGAACCAAAGAGATACAGTTGATTCGCATCAAGACTACCCAAATTACTCGGAACAAATGATCGAGGCTAAAGCAATCAAGAAAATATATCCGATGAGAATCCAAGCAAGATAATTAAATGAAGAAAGCACAAGGAGCTCGTACGTTTCCCGCCACCCAAGACCTTATGGACCGGCTTCTCGCGGCCGAATAGCCGGTAGATCTTGGCCTTGACGGCCTCGGCGGCGGCAGACGGTCCCCTCGAAGATTTTTCATCGTCCGAATCCACCACCGACGAAGAGTGTCGTCCGTGGAACTTCTCCGTGATCTTCTCCAGCAACGATTCCTCCCTGTGCTCCGCCATCTCTCTCTCGCTCCCCGTGCGGGAAGCAGGGGGTGATCGGCGGCTCTTAAGCAGGTATTAAGGGGCCCGGGCCACGGAGACGCGATCACGACCGTCGAATCGGGCGCTGCTCGGTTTGATTAACGGGCAATATGGAAATATGTTGATTGATAGGGGCAACATTGTCCAAAAAGAGTTGAACGGCTGTTAGTTTGACGGCGACGTCGACGGTGATTTGTTCGGAGAGGGCTGTGACGCCCGTCCGGACGGCGACGTTAGTTTCCCGTTGCCTTTTTCTGTTTGTACTGGCCCGCACGCCCACCTCACGTGCCGTTGTGGTAGATAAAACGCGTAGGTAAGCCGGTAAGAGAGGCCGATGGCACGCGGTAAGTCATTGGTGGGACCCGAGGCGACACGGGAAAGAGAGGTTCGAGAGAGGGCAAAAGCGGGATCTCGTGCATCTTTCGAGTTCGTTTTTGTTCCCGCCCTTTTGTGCTGCTCGTTTGAACCCGCGAATGCTTCGATTATATACGAGTTTTTTGTTCCTAAAGCTAAACAATATTGTTAATTCAGATATTGGTGGTAAAACCTTCTTACTATGAATTATATGTGAGTTTTTGTTCATAAGGATAAAAAAATATTATTTATTAATTATTGTAAGTCATCGATATTGATTCGAAATCAATTATATTTTTTATTTTATGTTTGTCTCATAGTGAAATATATTAGACAAAATGGACGTCAATATTACAAGAGCTATTGTTAAGGCTGAACAACAATATGGAGGCTGTAGTTGCATCGTATAAAATCCTTCGTAGGATAAAACAATAAATCAATATAATTAAGTAATAATAATACAATCTCGAACAAGTGGTTCACAACACTAATACGAATCAACTCAACTTAAAATATTATTTTAATAATTAAATAATTAAATTAATAGTTTGATAAAAGTTACATTGTGTCGTGACCCTAATCGATGATATAAGGATTATGACACATTGAATGCTATTGGCGCCTGACTAACATCTCATTGTCATGTGACTAACACTCTATTGTTATTTAGATGGCATGGTAATGCCTTAAATTTTTTAAGTTTGATGGTACGTGATTACATCTATGATCGAAGGAAGCATGTATGTGATTACTGTCTCACTATAAAAAAAATCCTTCAAATACATCCTCTTATATCTTAATCTTTTGAACACTTAGACTCATAACTTAAATCGGATCTTTTAATCCTTCATTGACTCAAGCATTTGACATTGTTGGATATGCTCCCAATATAATTTTTTATAAGATTCATTATCGAACTCATTCACCTTCTAGCATAGAGTTTATGATAGATTCAGACTCAAACAATCAAACATAAAGTTTTTTTTTTTCTTAGACAAGATAAAACTTTAATAAGCGTGATATCTCCAAAATTTACAACCAAACATAAAGTTTTTTTTTCCTTGCGATAAGATAAAAGTTGAATGTACGATATCTCCAAAATTTACATTTTACGTGTACATATAATAATACTCCATACATGTAAATATTTCATATACGTAACTGCCCTCGACATCCAGGGAAAGATCTTCTATCGTCGACAGTGACGTTCTATGAACATGTCATCGACACATCACATCTGAAATCAAATAATAAGGTTTATAATGTTTAGAAACCAAGGACAGATGTATTGATTTCATTATTAGAAACGATGAGGATGTTACTGTACTTGCAAGCTGTAGTTTTACTTTTGATAGGAATCGATTAGCATGTGGAAACAAAGGTGTCAATGATGTCTCTTATTTTTAGTTTTCTTAATTGATATCATTTTTTTTATTACCATAAAAATGTTGACATCGTCGTTAATGTCTCTTTCTCTCTTTCGGAGTGAAATTATTTATGGTAACAGTAGTGCTCTCTATCGCTCCTATCCTATCGTAGCTATCTCCTTCCCTTACGTGAGATCTTATCGTTTTTGCTTGACCTAACCTACTTCGATTGTCTCTACGGAGAAATATTTAAGGTATTAAAAAATAATAAAGATATCAAATGAGAAAATTAAAAATGAAATATCAATCATCCCCAAAAAAATCTAAAAGGAGTGCAACAAAATAAATTTCTTGACCTGAAAATAAAAAAAAAACTTTTTATTTTTTGGTGGTTGGGGGTGTAAATAAATGTAAATATTTTTATAAATAAGTTTATTATATTTGACTGTTCATTGAGTCGTTGTAGTATAGTGGTGAGTATTCCCGCCTGTCACGCGGGTGACCCGGGTTCGATCCCCGGCAACGGCGGATTGATTTTTACCTCGTGCTTTCGTTATTGCTATTATTATTTTTGGCTCGACGAGCAGAGAAAGAACACATCGTCGAGATCACATTCTGACCTCATGCGAATGCTTACTGCAGAAGAGAAGGCGAAAGACCGGAAGATGGTAGCAGGTCGACTTTCCGGGGGTTGTCGTGGAACCAAGTCGTCACATCAAGATCACATGCCATCGTCTTCCATGGATCGAAGCTGGTGGGAGTGATCCAGTAGCGTCGTACCCATTGTTCTGGTGGATCCTGTTCCTGTTTTCTGCACTGAGAAGGACGGTCAACCTCGTGCAACCTCCTATCTCATCGATTCCAAAGACTTCTTGGAATCATGTAGCATGAACGCGAGACAGTATCCTAACCCTGTCCGTGGACTTTCGGGGGTGGCCGCCTCTCCCTGTCCTCACGATCGACCACTCACTCACTGGAGGAAAAGTATGATACAGCTTAGTTACCTTCTTTACTGTAGTCCGAGGAGTCTTTTAGGTGGCGCAGGCTACTGGCGGAAGCCGAGAAAAGGTTCCGATCGTTTCGTCCTCATCGTTGATTCGAATCTATGGTGCCACTGCCGCCGCTGCTGTGGAGCGAGGGCGCTCTTTGAAGTTGCCTCCCGCTCCTCGTCTGGCGGTCCCACCTTAAAGCACGCCATGGAGCTCTTCAGGCTGCTCGCACATGGTGGTAAACACGGTGGCGGCGCGCCCTCCTCGGCTACTAGGCCTGCCGCCACCGCGGACCTTTGCCCGGACAACGACGACGGACCCTTCTTCGACCTCGACCTCGCCCTGCCACTGCGGGAAGACGCGGACCTCCATCGGGAGAACCGGCAGTCCTCCATCGGCGCGGATTCGGAGGACGACGACGGTGACAGTCACCTCTGCTACCCGGTCCTGTCGCTCTACCCCTCCGACGGCCTCTTCTTAAAGGGTCGCCTCCTCCCGCTCGAGCCGTCTTCCCTGGGGGTCTTCTCCGCCTCCGCGCTGCCCAAGTCGACCAAGTCACAGGTTCCCGCTTTCCTCCTCAAATCCGCCGCCAGAGTTCGCGCCTTTAAGCTGGGCTTTCACAGGAGATCGAAGTCGGCCTCGCCGGAGCTCAACCCCGCCGCCTCCCCCGTTACTACCTCCACCTCGCCGAAGCAAAAGCATCACAACGACATCCACGTCAAAGCCAAAGCGGAGGAGGCGCCGCCGGTGTCGCTCTTCGCCAGAGAAAACATCTCAAGAAGCTCCAGCAGCCGCAGCTCGGCCCAGATTCGCATCGACGGCGCTTTACCTGCGTCGGACGAGAAAAAGCTCCCCTGGGACGTGCTCCAAAGGTGTCTTGACAAGCTTAAGCCGCTTTACACCAGGATCTCGAAGCGCCGGTTCTCCGAGCCGCTGCGGCCTGTCGGGAAGGGCGCAGAGGCGGACGGAGAAGACCGGCGGAGAGTGGCAGAGTCAATTGCGAGCAGCTTTAACGGGCCACTTAAGTCGCAAGACGGGAATACACTGGCGGGGCATAAGGTTGTTAGCCGACGATTGAGGAAGAGCCGGTCGGCTTCGGCTGCCGGGAGGCAGGATGACTTCCTCATGGAGCAGCAGGACGGGATCCAGAGCGCCATCGCTCACTGCAAGCGCTCATTCAACAGAGGTACGTACGATAGCTTCCGAGTCCGTGCTACAGTACGTCTATATCTTCCATCTCAATCATGGACGGCCGTGTCAACTCGGTTTGCAGGGACCGACTCGCCGCTGACGCGGTCGAGGAGCGATTCCGGCAACGGGAGATCGCTGGAATCAAGCAGCAGCAGCAGCAGCAGCAACAGTAGCACCACTTGACCGTCGTCCATGCGGAGACCAAAACGCATGAACGAAGGAAATTTAAGGAAAGAAGAAGATGATTGGATAGTGTTGTCGTTAGGCAGAGCTCTTTCTGCTTTCTTGTAATTAGATCAGCATGCAACATCGTCTCATCGCAATTTAGTCTCGGTTCCTTTTGTGTCGACTCTCTCTCTCTCTCTCTCTCTCTCCCTCCTCTTTCAGGGACGAGAAGTAGAGACAGAGAGAGGGTATTCATACTGTGATTTCGCGGACAGTGGTAGCAGCGAATCCAATGCTCCTCCTTTTGGAAGTGCTCGGTTCAAGACCTGCTTCTTGTGAGCCTTCAGCAGGTAAGACAGTATTAGAACCCTGTGAGGATTCCCAGGTCAGGTGGTCACAGCAGCTTTGTTTGAGCATGTAGATAATGTTAGTTCATCAGGTTTGATGTCTTCTGGAACAAAGCGTTCGCCAAGATCTTCCAGCATAGGATTCGAGTTCCAACAAAAACATAGTAGTTTCGTGATTGACTGCTTGATTTCACGGCAATGGTTCCTTACATTGACTTGCATGGCTTTGGTGCTATAAAAAGAAAGGGTGACCCTTTTTGCGAAGAGGAGAAAAAGCGAAAAGAGTATAGTGCATAACTATAGACCATTGAATTGCTTTTACCATTACTTGCATGGCATTGGTCATGGTGATCTTCCTCTTCTAACGGAGTCAAAGGTACTGTGGTGTACATGATCTATTGAATTGCTTCGTCTGCACACAGTTCGTCGTACGCGCATGGTGATGAACTCTTCAACCGCTAATGAACTGTAGGCTCGTTATTGCTTTCGGATGATTGTTTTATGTGGGCATCTTTTTAGGCCTTTTGGATGCAACAATGATCTCTTTAAGAAACCATGTTTTCTTGTGTCCATCGTAAGTAGTTTGTTGTGAACGGGTAAAATTTCGCTTTAGAAAAAAAAATAATATTTACAAGTTTTAGAATGATTTTTCAGAAAACATTCATCTCTCGTATTTAATTTTTCTATTTGATGAAAGCAAAGTGAAAGGGTAGAAGGCGAAGAAATAATGGGATTGAAGCGAGAGATATGTAGGATATTGAAAGAAAAAATGAGGATAGCAAATGAAAAAAAACTGAAAATGAGAGCATCATCCAAAATTAAAAAAAAAAACTTAAAAAAATATTTCAAGAAAATCATTAAAAGTTTTAATATCTTTCTAATTTAGATGTTTAAAAATATTATATTTTACAAGCACTATAATATCATCCAAATGCAACACAAGCATCACAGCTCTCATCTTTCGACTACACATAATGCATGTAATGCACTCATCACTCTGATAGTTGAATTCATATGATCAGTTGCGGAAGGCCACCGATGTGATTTTATAAACAAGAGTAGCAAATAGTATGTGTTAACTTCAATGGCTGCAAGTGATTTGAGTTCCTGCAATACTGATGTCCAACGTGGAAGCCGGCGATGAGACTACAGCACGACAAAGGCACGGGATGTGCCAGTGAAATGACGAATTTTCCCAAACAAACTCTTTGATGTGCCGAAATGCCTTAGTCGGTAGACACCTGCAGCAACTGTTTCCGGGATCCTCCATTCTATCGTCGCATGGCTATGGGCACTGAACCTTGAAGGTCTAGACCACTTGAACCGCAAGCTGAAATCGTCGTCGTCGTATGCAGGAACCCAAGTACTGCTGCCGTCCAAGATCTCCACCAGCGAAAATGTGCCCTCGGTCAGGAGGTCATTCCTGGGGCAAGCAGACCAGAATGTTGCAGTGACCATGTCACCTGGCCTGAACGTGGAGTTTTCAGGAACATCGGTGCCCACATCCCCAAACTTGACACCATATGGAGTTGTGTCCATGACGACGGGAGGGAGAAAGCTGATCTGTTTATCCAAGAGATCAGGAGGTTGCAAGTCAGATTCGATGATTTTGCCATCCAGGAGAGCGGACGCTAGCTTTTTGAACTCCTGAATGTAACCATTGAGTGTGTGGGGACCGTACAAAGTCGATGCACCCTAAAGAAAAACAAGACAAATCAAGCGTAAGGAAATTTTGACAAATAAATAATTTAAAACTAGATAGCAGCCTATGCTTATAAAGGCAGAAAGCGACATGTATGAAAATGGATGATACACTGAACACTCTCATGATTCATAACTAAGTTTTACCTCATATCTTTGGATCAGGTACTCATCATATGTTGTCACATATTGAGAGTATGTGTTTGATAGACCAGCAATAACAATGTGAACATTACTATCAAATTCGCCATTGCCATCACTGGTAAGTACTGTTCTAACAGCATCTCGCAGGCGCCTCCCAGCCATTGTAGAAAACTCTGCAATGCGAAATAACAGAACATTCATAACTACTCTAAAATCCACCTGATACATGATGATTTTAAGGATAAAAAATAATTGACATTTATGAAGAAGAAAATGTGAAATATATAAGCAATAATGAAAGAGAGAAACAGTTCTTCAAATGATTCATTACTGCCAAAAGAAATTATAGACGGAGAATTTATTCACATACACACAATCCGAGATGCTGATGATAAAATTTTGAAATCCTTTTAATGTGCCAAAAAAGCAAACTAAGCATCTACCTCCAGGTACACAGAGGATGACCACCTGTCCTATTCGGATTATCTGCACTGGAAGTATCGCAGGCTGGAGGGGAAAAGAAAATCAGTGATGATCAATAATGAAAGAGAACAAGAAGAGATAGAGCCACTGTAATGTATCAATTATTCCAAAATGCTCTATTGCATGATTACTATTGGTGCAATGTGCCACCATCCCACAAAAAAATGCAGTAGACACAGACAATTTATTGATTAAAACAAATGTGCATTTAGTTAGTCCATACTTGGTCCTTTTGATATATCAGTAGCACCAATCTACATATCTCAACTCAAAATCTTTCATCCAAAATTAAATAGTTACTAAACAAATATCGGAAGAGGAGAAAGATACAAAACTACCTTAAAATTCTCATGAAAATCAATCTTCCAATTGACAACTATTGCCCTATTGACAAAGTATTCGATTTTTTAGAATTTACAACTCACTATCCTCACTGAGATAATAGCAGCTTACTATGTTATCCTTTGCCTTATTTTGTTGTGGATGCCGTCCAGGCACAGAGAAACATGAAGGTAATCGTATCTAGGTTAAATCTTCCTTCTCAATAAATGATGATCTAGGTCTATTGACAGACTACTGTATTCAGTAGATATGAAGCTCACCGCCCAATCATATGGTAGATCCATATCACCAGTGTCAAGTAAGATCGGCTTTGGCTGTTGACAAGCAACTTGCTCCTTGCTAGGTGTTTTCAACAAATTTCTCACCAGTTTCCAGAAAGGATTACCCTGAACCATCATTAAGATTCTGTAATCAATGTTTTACCGCACAGAGCGAGAGAGAGAGGAGAAATAATAATGACCAACTCCTTATAACCAACCTTGTCATCCCCTTGCTTAAAATCAAACGCTCCAGGACCATCTGTGGTTCCTGCAGCAAAAGCAAATCCCATGGCTGCCGGACATGTTTTAACAACTTCCTGGCCTCCATCACTTGAAAGAAGTGTGACCTCAAGCTTTGAGAAATCTATGTAGGTCTGACGATAGTCAACTTTTCCTTTTACCTGCTCAGAAGCCTTATCGAAGAGTTCAACAGCCTTCGTGAATTGCCTATCACCAATGATCCTGGTGCTTTCAAATTCATCTGGGTATCTGACAAATGAAGTAGATCCAAGGGATTAACACTTGATTGAAATTAAGTTAACATAAATGACTCGGAAAGCAAATTAGTGATACCCTGGGCCTCGTCCATAGCAAAGTTCATTCTTCCCGTTGCAGGTACTGTGATTGAAATCACAAGGAAGTCCAGTATCTATGCAGAAAGTCCCGAGCACATTTGGACTCACATCTCCACAGTTTGATTGACAAAAGGCAGATACAAATTTTGGTTTGCCATCTTGCCCATTTCGGACACGTTGTGACACACTTTCAGAGCTTGCTAAATGCCTTCCACCTGATGCCAGGAAAGAGGATGCCAGCTGCCTTAACTTATGAACTGCAAAAGATGACTTAACAAAGTCAAAATACTGTGAAAGTACCTATACCATATTAACAAGTAATTTACATACTTTGACTATAAGAATGAAAAGAATATAAAAAACATACAGTTCTCATGTGGTTGAGGAATTATCATTGAAACCCTTCGATGAAGTGAACTATGTCTAACGCTAGTGACAATGTCACTTCCTTTAGCATAACCCGTTTGCTCTGCCCAGTCCTCCATAAAACGTGCAGCAGCTCCTTTGTTGTCGCCACTTATCAAGGAGTTTGTACGACTCATTGAAGTACCATGAGTCGCAAACCAGTTAAAACTCCCAATGGGACCCCATTCATCATCTACAAACTTCAATAAAGTCATTTCTTTGTCAACATCATACTTGAATTTGCTTCGCTCTGCATCAGGATTATTAAGGTAGGCACTAGGACTGCGATTTATGCTAGCATCCAAGAGTTCTCCTGAAAATCATAGAACTAACTGCATTATAAATAGACATACAGATCCCTTTACATGTTTCTCATGGCTAATTTGAAATAGCATGCATGCTCTAATTTTTCATCATTCAACAAACTGTAATGGTAAACAAATAAACCAAAGAAATTAATACTCCTAAATTGGCAATTTCTAAGATTAATCTACACTGATACACTTAATAAAATTAAAATTAAACACCCATCATAAAACATGAGAGACTTCCACTACCATTGTTGACAAAGATATTTCCTGGACGGAGATTTTCATGGGCTTCTATGATGCTTTTCTCGATGCCATCGACAATGACATCAAATGATTGCCTTACAAATCCAAGAGATGTTACAATATACACAACATATTGGAGGTAACCCCCAGGACCAGCATGAGTGTGAATCCCACTGATGGCTACATTTTTGTCATTGTACATGTCCCCATACCTGCCAAAAATGAAACACCATGATGCATTATTAGACTAGAAATATATGGAAATTAAAATCTTGAGACATTTTGATTCATGAAAAGATTTAAGCATAATAATCATCACATATAATATCCAAGAAAGTAATTACACCTCCATTGCACTATAAACCTAGCAAAAGATTCAATTTGAATGCTAGGAAGAAATTTAGATGATATTCAGTAAAACATTCTTCATGTATCAGTATACAAAGTTGGTCCAAAAAGAAATCCAACATGAATTTTACACTGAATTTCCTGTGTCTGTAAATCATAGGTAGACACTATTGTCACCATAATCTAGAATCTCTAGGATGATTTAATTAAATCTAACTTGAGGTATAACAAAAAAGCAGCAACTTCCATATCCCAATAAAGCACGAAGAATTACTCTGTCTTAGACTCTTACCATCATAGAACTCCAATAGTTCTTATCAACTTGCACCAGTTCATGGGTAGCCTAAATGACATCAGTACAATCAATACATCCTGAAATGGTGCTATAACTAGAGATCAACAACCAAAAAACTAAAAGAAAAAAAAGCAAAATAACTTGGAGAACAATGTGAAAAACCAAATCTTAAAACAGCATTAACAAAAAGATATTTTTTTTACAAAGTAAAAGAAATACCAAGTAAAAGAGCACCATAGAGATTAGAACTTAACGTAGCTACTTTTTTTAGATAATTTAGCCTAGAATACCTTGACTTTAGTCTCTCAAGGACTTTGATCGTCACAAGCTGAGATGCCATGCATGCATCAAGATTCACAAAAACTACACGATTCCCTCCTGGCTCTGCAACAATAAATGCCCGGGCCTTCAGTCTGAAATGGACACCAGAAGCAATCTGTTCAGCATTAGCATATCCCATCATATTGACATCAGCTGCAGGTCCTGTTATGTCATAGCTCCCAAGCCCAATTAAATATGTTGAATCTGATTGAGTTCCTCCAATGTTCTGGATGGAAACTAATAGCAAGAGGTAAAACCACATGTTTGCCATTGAACCAATGGTACAACGGAGAAGACGAATGTGACTCCTCTTGCACTGGGAAAGGGACCTCCCAATCAAATTCAAGTACAAGCCATCTTGAGCTGAACCTAGACAACAGGGAAGAAGATAGAGTTAAAAAGAAAATCTGAAAAATAACTGAATCCGGCATGTAGAAGAACTAAACATGTAGATGCACATTCAGAACATAATCCAGCATTTCACCAAGATGGACAGAAAATATTGCACCATGCTCTAAAGATAACACTGCACATCAACAAAACTTGACTTTAAAATGTAAGGCTGATATTCTAACAAAATGAAAGTTTCATATGTAGCTAATTACAGCACATAAGAGTGCACAACCAGAAATTAGGACGCCGAGGCTGATCCTTAACCTCAGGCTTCGGCAACAAATGTATTTTCTGGACTAAAAGTTGGCAAATCATATCTGAAGAACTACACGGAAAAAAATATGAACAAAGATACCAAACGAATATATATTTATCTAATATATTTGCTTATATAGGATATGATTTTTAAATAATATTCAGACAATTGTAGCATATTGAAATATATAACTACTTCAAGGAACAGTTACAATACAATTATACTTCAGCAACAGTAACAAACTGATGTGGGCATCCACGGCATCAGCTGTATTTGTTACCAAAAGATAAATATGGAAACTGCTAATGGATAGACAACGCGATAGTGAGCAGATCTCCAAGTTAATGGACATATTTTTTGCGTCTACAAATTATAGCATTTTAAAATGAAAGAAAAGATAGTAAATTTGGAACATAAGAACAGAGAGAGAGAGAGAGAGCACGAACTAATTAACAGATAAGAACAAACTATACATGGAAAAGACATAGAAACAGCCGAAAACAATCAACTTTTAACACGGTAGCAGATGACGTTGGCTACCATGAAGATAACTAATAAAGACCGTATATAGTGATATGGGATTTCTTGTGGAAAGGACGATGGAGGTGGGATTGCTTCGAGTTTCAAAATCGCATGCAGACTGATCCGATCAGACTGTCAAATTGCTACGGAAAGTGAAGGTGATCGGAAGGTAGAGACCACCGGCGGCGGTGATAACTACGGCGGCTTCCGATCGCGCCTCCAAAACGAGAGAGAGAGAGAGGGGAAGAGATCTCAGCAGCGAGCAAGTGTTAGGGCTGCTGCTGCTCCTCTTCCTCCTCGTACGAGGTCAACAAGCTGAACCCCTTTAGTCGATACCCCAAGAAAAAAAACAATCAAAAGTAGCACGAATCACAGAGAAGCGTACCGCGCTTGGCACCAGCGAATTAGATAGAGACCACGGTCAGAAACGGGAGGAACAAAGCAAGGCGGATTGCATACCCCCAACGTGTTGTTGGTGAAGTCGCTGGGAGATTTAGTTGAGGGTACAACGAGGTCGTGGCGTGCAACGGCACGCTATCGCTCGGCAAGGATGAGGGGTTGGGACGGTCTCGCACAGTACGCTTTCTTGTGTTCGCAAACACCGACGAATTAGGTCATGAGTAAAGCAAGCTACTTAAAGTCTCAACGACACGTTTGAAGCCCAATTAGTCCCAAATGGTGGATATATGGAACTCCAATCGGACTTGGATCAAACATTACCAACGCATCTCTCATAGCTCACTGACCAGGAAGGACAAGGCCACACCATTAAAATTAGATCATATTATTTTTAGAAAATTATTATTTGCAATTATTTCTTAATATTTACAACTCATTTTAATTTTTTTAAACTTTCCCTTTCAAATCATTCTCGTCTTATTTTTGGATCAAGCAACTTCAACAACAAGCAAAACATCAACAAGAAACAAAGAGCCGACGAGCACATTTGTGATGAGCATCAAAGGGACATGGTGACGAGCAAGGTTGATGATGATAACATCGACAACGAAGATGAAATAAGGGATTGTGAAAAAAAACATAAAATCGCTAATACTAAAACTATAAATAATAAAATATTATTTTTTATTATTTTTTAAAAAATATCAACAAGAAGAGGATTATCATCAATAGTAAAGAGGGGATTGAGAATAGTAAACTTCTATTTTTGTTAGTTACATTGAGAACTTAAAGCAACAAACCCTGCAATAAAAAATGAAGCCTGGTGGATCAAACCGCTCACTTTCATCTTTCTTGTTGATACGAATAACCACGAAGGTATTGGCTCAACGCAGAAAATGATTACTTATTTGGCCTAATTGGGTTAAGCTGATTTATGAAGCAAACTTAATGAAGAAACAAACGAATTCCAATCCAACACAATGACATATTCACATCTTAATGCGGAATTGCCATTATCTAATCCACTCAGTAATCTTTCAGATGATTGCAGAACACCAAACCTTGTTCAGGAAGAAAAATACCAAACTTTAGCGTACCTGTCTCACCTACTTGCCGTGTGATTGAAGGGCAGAAATGAGCAGACAAGCAATAAGTGGGGTAGGAAGTGACGAAATGAGCGTTTAAGCAACAGCATTAGACAAGGTTTATAATCAGCTAATATTGATGACATTAGTATACGTGCACTCACATCTAAAGAATGCAGCTGCAAGAAGGTTTTGCAACATGCGGAAAAAAAAGGGCATCAATTAGTGGCAAACTGTAAAGGAAAAGAAAAGAAAGAACACAGGACAAGGAACGACACCCGGCAAACAAAAGGCAGCATCTTCATTGCAGATTCTTAAGCAAATTTTGGCCAATCATTCATTCATTTGCAATTATGTGAACCTCAAAAATATTGATTGAAACGGTTCACATAATTTACGTTGCAGAATACCAAATGTGCAGAGTCATAAAGCTCCCCGCTGAGTGGTCATCACAGGTTCTCATAAACCCAAACACTATGAAGTTTACACTTTGTAGCTCATGACATGGAGTATAGTTGCTGCCAGCATTGGCACCCACAGCCGGCTGGTGACACAGCTCACCAGCCGCCGCCACCATTCCCTTTTCCACCACTACCCCTTTCCACAATGCCCAAGCATCTGTGACAGCTTCCACCGCTGCACAATATGCGCCCGCACCATCACCATTGGGAATCGCGACCATCAACGTCATGTTGACATGGGTTGCGACTAGCAAATGTCACGTAGGCAACGACACTACTATAGCCGCCTACGACTAAGGCAAGCCAACCATCGTAAGACTATTGCACATAAGCATCCGTGCATACGACCATCGTCGACTACCACACCTCACGACACTTTCACTGTGTACAGTAGCACCTGTACACAACCGCTCCCCATGATTGGGTTGACGATCACCAGAAGCCACCACCCCCAGCAATACTATCATCGACATCAAGCTGTCGACAGTGGTCCATCGATCAAATACGAGAAACCTCACATCGCCCGTAAACAAGCGATAGGACAAACTAGATAAAAAACAGATCGACAATACAAACGGATCGTTCATGCAATATAAATAAAAACTAAAAAACACCTTTTCGCAAGCAAAGGGTGCTAATAAACAAATATAACATATTTGATTTTAAAAACATGACTCTGATATCAATTATAAGCATAAAAATTGTGATTATGCTATTATACGAAAAACTTTAATACCAGAAACTAAAATCAAATAACAATAGATCAAATTTACGTTGCCTACCTTTCGATGTCATTAAAAAAACATCTATCTGATCTATAGGTGCATCGTTGTCAGATCCGAAAGCAACAGTAATGTCGATCTGCAAGTAAAACTAAACTCGCCTTCTCCTCTCTTCCTGTTCTTCACAGAATTGTTATGAGCGATGGATTAGGGACAAGAAGAGATGAGAACAGATCTATCTCTCTCAATAACTGATATATGGTCCTTCTGAGATCATGTCCCTTTAGGAGAGTCCCTTCCGTCAAGGTCATCACCTAAGGAATCATATTATAATTGAATTTTCTTTTTATTAGTCGATAATCATAATTAGAATGCAATCATATCGATAATATATATTACCTAATTAGATAGGATCACATAATCTAACAAAGACAATCATAAACTGCAAATGTAATGATGTTGGTACTCAAAGCAGTGAACCTGAGAACCTGACTGTACCAACTGTTGATTCAAGAGACTAGGTTGCAACATTCTCGAATGCGGCATACATTTCAATCATTGATCAAAGACATGTGGTAGCACAGGGATGAAGTGATGAGATCTAAACCAAGGGAAACATTATCTGTTTGATGTTACCTCAAAATAAAACAAAACAATGTTAGTCATGGACTACATCTTAGATACACCAAACATGCTGCTGCAGCATTTCCCTGAGATTCTACAGATCAAACAGTTCCAAAGCAATTAATCCACAATAGAGATTCCAGTCTACTTCTCAGCTGAAGTGCTTAATTAACTAACCTAATTCCTTGTTCTCAACTTCAACGAGTCTTATGGATCGCTACTTCTTTCTCTCACAAGCAGTCATAGAATCATGTTGGAGTAGTAGTAGTAGTACAGTTCACCAATACAACAACAAACATGGGCTGCATCTACTCGAGCATAAAACCAACTACGAAGCTAAAAGAAGAGGAGGTTAAAGAGGTCACCGAAACAGAGAGATTGAGGTCAGTCAGGGGATGATCAGCTTCTTTCCGGCGTAGATCTTGTTTCCGGTGATCCCATTTGCTTCCCTGATCGCATCGACGGTGACCTAAAACACCAGACACTTCAAACATTAAATTCACATAGAGATTTCCATGTCGCCGAGAATAATGAAGAGAGATCTTGCCCCATATGTTTTGGACAGACCCCAAAGCGTGTCCCCCTTTGCTATCACCACTTTCCGAGCCGAGGAGGGCCCATCGTCCCATCCGTCGCCGGAGACCGCTCTCTAAAGAGGAGAATAAAGGGAGTGAGACCAGTAATACGGAGGAGAACAAGTCGAGTGAAAGGACGACGCTACATTGGAGAAGCCCATGCGGGGGCCTCGAGGCCGCTGGGGATGAGGGTTCGGCTTCGTCAAAAGGGCCTTGGCGATGCTCGCGGCGATGCCAAAGACAACCAGGAAACCGATGGTCTTCGCAGCCACTGGGGTGTCCTTCGATTTTTCGTCGCCGCCGCCATGGTCACCGCCGGCGCTGGTTGTGGTGGAGGGCTTTAGGGCGGAGGGCATCGCGCGGGCCTCCTAGTCGGTGGTGTTTGAATTCCCAGGGAAACCCTTCTTCCATTATATATATATATATATATATATATATATATATATATATATATATGTGGACCCGTGCACGGCCCAATTGCAACATAACACATGGCATGCTTTTGGGTTATATTTGATTCACTTCAGCGATTCATTTGTGTTCGATATGAACAATGCGAATTGGAATAGGGGAGTCTCTCCATCTCACTGAAAGAACCAATCTACACAATCTTCTATCAGCCAATAGATGTCAATAGAGAGACGCAGCACCATTATCAAAGCACAGCGAAGCCAACGAAGGCCACAAACAACAATGAGAAAGTTAGCAGCAGGCAACGAAGAAGAAGAAGAAGAGGAATTCTGCTACAATCGATCAAAGGAGGAACTGCGTCTTAATGAGTTATCTAACAGCGCAGGCAACCGCATGAGCCCATGACTTGAGGTGCTGCTTCATGGCCAGGCCATCAGCAAGAGGAGGCATACCGCAACGACGAAGCCTGACATTCCCATCACAGTGCGCGAATCCACCGCAGCTCCGGCTCGCCGTAAGCACTCCGCCATTCGACCTCAGTCCACGCAACCACACTTCCAGCTCTTCCAAATCCTTGACCTGCTCCTTCTCCTTGCAGCAAAATCTCTGATTTCTTCTCTTCTTCCCCTGCTTCCTCCTGTGTTCCGTGGTGTTGTAGGCTCCTGCTTCGCTGATCCCTGCTTGTCCGGTGGTTCCTGCTTCTGATTCTTGGCATTTATCTGCTGCGGGAGTACAGTCTTTCTCTTGCTGCACACATGGGGAAGATATATCTGCGCTCTTGGGAACGGGAGAGGGAGGCGAAAGCATGTTGGCGAAGAACCAAAGAGAGTCCCAGGTGTGGAAGACCGCCTCGTCACCCTCGACCATGGTGGAGTCTCCACAGGAAGCTGCGGCAACGACGAGGAGATGAAGGACCCGAGGAGGGAGGCGGAGGCCACCCGCGGTTTGAATCGAGCGACTGCTTCTTCTTCGAAGCCACAACGGTTCAATTGGCACGTGACTCCAACCACAAAGTAAAGGTCGCATTATGTTTCGTGTACTCAGAATCTCTCCCCAAAACCTTATGATCCCATGTGGCCCCCGCAGTAGGTTACGTGTGAGCCACAAGTAACAGGAAGTTATTCGGGTAGAGTTCGGAGTAGATGTTTTTTGGACTCCGAAAGGTCGGTCCTACGCTCTGCTCTGTAGCCATCGCATTATTTGAATATAACAAGGAAAAATAACGACCGACATATGTATCGAATGTTAACTGTTATAATGTATGGATAGAAATACTCGCGTAGATGAGATATAATGACAAAATTAAAATAACAATTCGTTCCTTTTATTTCATGCGTAGCACAAGTTGAGCAACTTGGAATCGTGTATAGTTATTTTCTGGCGTTGCATACTTTGAATGACTTGTAACAACATGTTTTCTAACCCATCCGATGGGTTTTAGTCAATCCATGCGTGCATGAGAAATCTCGAGCAAGTCAATCTATGGGTGTCGACATCGGAACGGTAGAGAGCGACCAATGGAGGAAAATATTAACGAGAAGAACATTGGATCGACGTAGAATAGACTTGTGGGGTCTCCAGTATTTGCCCTTTTCCTTCTCGGAAAAGTAGAAGCATGACGACGACGAAACGTGTTTAACGCGACGAGGCGGCCATTTGGCAGAGATTGCTATCGCGCGTGTGGGATGCTCCTCATCTCGTGTCGGCCCAATGAAGTGGGAATTAGGATATGCGTGTACGATTAAAGCCATGTTTCGGTAGGATTTACTTTCCAAGGTATTGGCGGAAACCACCTCAAAAAGTGTAAGCGATTAGATTAGACTTGACGACCGATCAGAGAGATTGAGGTCATACGGTGCCTTCCATCAGCCATCGATCTGATTCTTCCCACTCATTGAATAGAATCTAAGTGGCTGTTTAGCACCGGCAGTTGCGTTGACTTTCCGCTTGACAATACCACATGTCGCTTTTGTCAAATAGATACAGCTCTGGCCACGTTAATGGCATAATAATAATAATAATAATAATAATAATAATAATAATAATAATAATATATATATATATATATATATATTATTATTATTATTATTATT